AATTCTAAGAGAATTAGAATTTAGAGAGAAAAAATTTCCGCTTCACCCAGCCGGGAATCGAACCCGGGTCTCCCAGATAAAGCCCGGATAAAAGCGCCCCCCGGTAAAGCCGCTTTTTGGGCATGCAATGCCCAAAAAGAAAGCATTCCGTTTAATTTTTTTATTAAAAAAATAAAGGTAACATTTTACATCACTTCTCCATAGGATTGGAAATCAATGAATATCAAAGTAGCAAGCAAAAGTGGATTCATAGTCGATGAGTAAATATTTTCATGAATACTCAGGAGAGAAACAGTTTCCCAGAATCCGTCAAGACCCTTCGATTGGCATTATTTTTCGAATGTAAAAAGACTTTTCTTGTTAGAACCATCATTGCGGGAGCTGGTCATACAAGAATCTCCATTGATGTTTTGGATAGGGTAAGTTCGGGTGAAATGGGCACCTTCAGCGGAAGACCGAAAATCATCGTACTAATCTCGTAATTTGGATACGGAAAATTTCCGTTGGTTCCTATAGGGTTCTATCTATGAGATGCATGAAAGAAAATGCTACAGGTTGTTCTCCGTGTCTGTCCAGAACATAAAAACATTAGAATCACATCTATCTCACCCGGACTCACCCTACATCTTTCTCCACTATGTCCTTTCAAATCAATTGATCAGGACGTGTTGGAAATGATTTCCATTGTGCGAAATGCAGCACTGTAAACGTCGCAGCAGATTACGGCGTGTGTTTTGTAACATCTGGGGAGTGATAGATGCCACGGTTGCTCGAATACGTCCTTCCAGTTCCTCCAATGAATTAATCTCCGTTGTGTAGACCTGATCTTTAATATGTCCCCAAGCGAAAAAATCTAAAGGAGTCAGATCGGGGGATCGTGGAGGCCAAGGTCGAGAAAGCGCTTCAGCACCAGGGTCCAATGTAACGATAACCCACCATCGTTGTAATTGCCTGCAAGTTCCTATTTGCCCTATGAGCTGGGGCTCCATCTTGTTGGTATCACATCACTTGGCGAACTCCTGGGAGAACACCTGCCTGATCCAACAATTCGGGCAAAATTTGCGTGGGGAAGTGATTGTATTGCTCGCCATTTAGATTTTCGTGATATAAATATGGCCCAACCTAGAATATCAATTGCCGTTATTTTCATAGGGTTTGATCAATGTCCGAACGATCTATTACTTCAAAAATGTAAAAAAAAATATATATGTAAAAATGAATAGATAAAGAATGATCACTGAAGCACCAATGAGGATGAGCAGACCGAGATTAAGAAAATCCCTGACAAAAAGTCTCGGAAATATGTCTACATACGTGATGTAATAATAGTAGAATTCGACACAAAGCCTATAATAATAGTACATTTCGATACGATTGCGGCAAAGTGTTTTTGGGCTCGTGGGAGGTTTATAGCACGAGCCGAAGGCGAGTGATATAATCCCACGAGTTTAAAAATCCTTTTCTCGCGAATATCGAACAATAACGCTTTACACACAGTGTGCCGAAAAAAAAATTTCTGGCGAATGTGAGTTTACAGCACGAGCTGGACGCGAGTGTCGAATGATATTTTTTGCTATTCCGTCTGTGAGCAGGGTTTTGCGGATGCGAAGCATCCGGAAAACGTTGCCCCACCGACGGACTGATGAAAGAACTTATCCCGAGAATAATGAAAGAGAATTCTTCTAGTAACAGCGGAAGTATGTATAATGCTTCTCATTTATATACACTGTCGCATATAGTGGAATATTTCATCTTCCGAGGAATGATTGTCATTGTTCGTGCGTAAATGAATTCCTGTGTGTATTCATGATTGTGATTTGATATGTGTAGAGCCATAGACATTTGCGGTTTTTTTGCGGTTATCATGAGAATTAAATATGCTATAGACATACGACTCGATCACCGATGATGCCCAACCATACATTAACACTGAACAAGTCTTGATGTCGTCGATTCTGGATGCATGAATACGGACGATCATTTCTATCTCCCCATTCATGCTCGTTATCCTGATTTCAGCTGGAGCACCTTCCGAAATGAGATTCATCCGTGAATAATATTCGCTGAGTAAAACGCGGATTACGTTGGTGCTGCACGAGGAGCCATCGACAGAATCGTAACCGCTGACCCTCGTCTCCATCATAAAGAGCTTGAATCGTGGCGAAACGATATGGATGCATATTGTTTTCTTGTAGAACTCTAGCCACTGTCGTAGGGGATACTCTTAAACGGCGAGCAATGCCTCGGATATTTGCTCTGGGATTATCACGAAATTCTTCCAGTACGTTCTCTTCCAAATCCGGCACTCGGATATACCGCTCTCTTCCGCCGTTGGCAACATGAGGCATAACATTGCCCGTTTCGTGGAAGCGGCTTACCGTCCCCAAAATAACCGGCGGTGATGGATGACGGCCACGTGGATTTTGTCTCGCATATAGTCGTGCTGCTTCAGCCGTATTATGCCCAGCCAGCTCATAACACCTTACCATACGGCCATATTCATACTGTGTATACGGTGCCATATGCGTATCGAATGACTACGAGGTTACACTTTCAACACCAATAACTCTGAATCGAATTAGAGATTAATTGAAGATATTTTTCCTGTGGAAATTTCAATGGATGGCGCGACAGATAAGAGAATAGTATTTAATTTGCAAAACTCGTAACTGGAGATCGATGAAACACAAACGTGTATCGTAGTATCAACTAAACAATTGAAGGAGACAGCGAAATCATTTTTTAAAACATTCAAATTTTTTTTTCCGCATCAAATGATGATATATTTATACTGCTCGGAATTCCCTCTAGTTTACATCGGATGAATATGTTTGATGATTATTCTGGTACTGACAAAATAAGGCAATGAAATAACGATGAAGTAGAATAATATTTGAGTACTAAAGAATGTCAACAGAATCAGGACAGAAGAATTTCAAACATTCGATCCCCAGCGCTACACTCATAAGAATTTAGTGGACATCAAATTTTCCTCCAGCTTGATTAATGGGAAACGAGAGCCACAAAATTGAAATAGGAAATTTGTGAATGATCGCTTATTGTCAATCATTCCTCAACGATAATAATACTTTGAGTTGATGAGATTGTGTGCGGATGGAAACACGGAAATTCTCCACTTTTTTGTCATATTGAAGGAGTACTAGTGTTCAATGAGATGCCTGGATCGGGGAATTAATTGTGCGGATGGATGAGTTGGAGTCGGATTACGGGAAGTGGGATGAGTAGAACCAAGAAATGAGCGGAACACGTGCACGTGGTGTCACAAATCACTGTATTTTGTCAATTTAAATGTTCACAATAAATAAAGTCACTGAATATTGAGTCACTAAGTAAACCGTAAGCAATGAGCGGACCGAAAAGTTGAGAAGAGATTGAGCTGACACAATAAAGATTATCCGATTTGCGAGAAATTGAGCGGTACAAAGAGAAGTGCTATTAACTGATTCCCGGAAACGAATGAGAGAGAGACACGGGCTTACAGGTGCCACGTGCCCTAATTCGATGGTCACATGACCTAATTTAATATAGATCATATGGTAATAAGGAGCTGTCCAGGACGTGGCGCCTCAGGTGTCCGAATTAACAACCCCCGGTCATCTGAGGTGAGCGCGTCAGGTGTGCGTGAGTGGGGAGAGAATGGATGAGCCTTGCGTGCGTTAGTGTGAGGGACCTGTCAGCTGACAGGATTTCCAACA